GCGGTTACAGCGCCAAAAAAGAAGAAGAAGAAGAAGCATCTCAAGATCTTCGCACTCACGTATTTCGGCCAGTCTTCTTATTGCTGCAAATACGTCTTGCTTCCTTCTTCAGTTCCCTATAACGGTCCCACATGGCTCGCGTTGCGCCCGATCGCAGCGTGTCCCTGAAGGCGGCATCTTTTTCTCTGCAGCTTTTCGACATTCCTCATCGTACCAGTTGTTCTTTCGGGCTTGGTGAAATCCGACTACCTATTTGGCGGCAGTAGTTAATGATCGGAAAATAAGGTTCCACTGCTCGCGTATGTCGATTTTTGTCGAGGTGTGGGAGTCGAGTGGCGAATAAATTGGCCGTCTGTTGTGATAGCAGCTTTTCGATGTTAAGCTTTCCTTTCATTGTTGTACACAAATTTTTTTCTGCACATTGGCGGGTGCGTATCTTCGCTGCAATAAGATAGTGGTCCGAGTCGATGTTTGGCCCTCGGAGTGTACGTACGTCTAAAACACTGGAAGCGTGCCTTCCGTCTATCGCAACATGTTCGATTTCGCTTCTCGTTTTTCAATCTGGAGACAGCCATGTAGCTTGATGGATCTTTTTATGCTGGAAAATAGTACTGTATAATACGATGTTTCAGGCCCCGGCGAAGTCGTTCAGCCTCAGTCCGTTATCGGACGTTTCGTCGTGGAGGCTGAATTTTTCGAAACATGCCTTCTTTGTGCACCTTGTTATTGAAGTCGCCAAGCACGTTTTTGATATCATTGCAGGGCCAGCGCTCGTATGTCCAGCTTTGATGCGGATTGTGGCTAGACGCTCGTCCTTCGGGGTGAACGACAGTACTTGGCGACGGAGTGTCTCTCCCACCACAAAACCAACACAGAATTTGCGCTCCTTTACATGGCAGCTTTATTAGACGTCGCCTTTCTTGCCTTTCCCCGCCCAACGCATTTCCGGATGGCGGTGATGTCAGCCTTTGTCTTTATGAGGACATAAACCAGCCGAGCAGAGGCACCTTCCCCATTAAGGTTGGGGACATTCCAAGTTCATGCCCCCAAATCGTAGTCCTTTAAATGTTTGCCGTGGTAGTCATCAAAAAGGAGGGAGGAGGTATGGGTCTCATCCAAGGCTTTGTTGTTCGTCTTCACTGAAAATATTTTTACGTTGCGGCATTTTCAAGTAAAAGTTAAATTTTAAATATTCATACATTACAGGAAATCACAATTTATTTAGGTAAATTTATTTTTCTTATATGGAACGAAATTCACAACACCGTCACTAAAAGAAATACTAAGAATCATTCGGGTTTTTAGTGAATGCAAACTTGCACCGAAACATATCTATTAAAATTTTTATGCTACAGAACTCCAAACAAAATTTGTTTATAGAAATTTGAATTATAAATCTGGAAATTTTGATGAAACTTTGTTGTATTTTTAATGTTTTATACAACATTTATAAAAAATTGATAAACATTAAATAGACAAACAAGTAAGAAAGCCTAAGTTCAGGCGGAGCCAAATATGTATTAAATACCCGGCGCAAGTATTAAATATATGTTTTCCACCTTTCCGAAAGCTATCGCTACATGGTAAGCCGGGGTGGTTTAAACCCCTATTTTAAACATCTTCGATAGAACGTTCAGTTAGACATAATGAGATAAACCTATATAGTCATATGTGGGCCCATTTTCCAAAATTCCAAAAAATGTTTCAAGGGATTGTTTTAAGTATCAATTTTGAGTAAATTAGCGTGCTTAAATTTAGAAATGTTGAAGTTTAAAGCATTTCTGAAATTTACCGTTATATGAAAAGCGGCCGTAATTTTAGTCCGATTTCAATAATTTTCAAGGTTTTGCTTTTATGTGGCAAGCGCAATAACCACACCGAGTTTGGTACAAATTGGTACAACGTGAAAAAGTAAAGTGGGAATCTTTATGCTCTGCCCCCTAGGATTGTTCTATACCGAAAAAATATACCCATATTTTTTATTTTGAAATCAAAGGTCGCCCAAAGCGCTCAAAGTTTTCCATGTATGGTATAGAATGGTATATTGTGAAAATCAATATTTTTCGATCGGCAAACTCTGTTCCTCTTCAGAAGATTCCCAATAATGTTACCCAATTATTTATTTAACCATTTTTTTATAGTAACTATATTTTATAGGTCCGCCAAAACCCCT